CACAAGGGTTTGTAGGCGCCTTTACTGTACAGAGTGTTCTGATCTATTTGACGCCGTCAGCTATCTTAGTCCGTGCAGAAATAGGTGAAACTCAGTTCCTCGATCCTTGGTCGATAAGGGGATTGTGGAGCAGGAATTCTCGAGGAATACCAAAGAACGGTTTTGCTTCCTCAAGGAATGAACTTTGTAAAGGCCGGCGGCCATGCCGTGGTGCTCACCTATTGCTCTAGTAATCGCTTCCATTCTGCGTCCTCCGCGTTATTGTTTTAACTGGGATTATCACACATAAAGTATACATTGTACACACCCTTCGTTAAGCACCCCTGCTTGTGATTCTTACCGATCTGGTCGGTTATCAATTCCCGTCAGCTTTCGCTGCGCAGCCACGACAAATTCCTCTGCTTCTACTTCCCTAAAGTGGGTTGGGCATCCGTTGGCTTCTACACATGCATAAACTCCAGTTACGTTTAGCACTTTCTAGCTATCGCCGCATCCTTTCGTACCTCTTGACTAAGTCTAGACTTTGACCAACCGATGAACATTTCAAACCGTTCCCTTCGCAGCGACTTAACTAGAACCCTGGACAAAGGCAAGAGTAATATGGAATTTGGAGCAAAAAAGAACCATCTGTATGGGCATTGAAGAAGGTGACGGTTGGACGGAGCGCCTCATGAAAAGACTCCATCTGAATGGAAAAACGGAAGAAAGCAATATATGCACTGCGCACCTGAGGTAAGGCTTTATCAAATTCCTGAAGCAAGACTTAGGCCGAAGAAGCACTAGCAGAAAGCTTTGAAGCTCATCTAGGAGAGGAGTGACGGTTCGATAAAGAGATGGGGTAGTTATCGTTCAAAAAACGGGTACTGTGAACCTTGTTTAAGATCATGTGGCGTGGGGATCGGTGCTTAATCCAGCATCCTCGAAACAAGACTAACGTGGAGAGGCCAGCTTCGCGACTCTTCATTTGAACAGAATTTTCGCTAGAACCTAGATCTAATTCATCGCTTTTTCCACCATAGCGAGGGATGAACCACTCGCTGCTGCCAGCAAGCGTACCAGGTGGAGCGGGTGGTGTTACCGAGTTATGATGGGAAGCACTGTTGTTTTCGACAAGAGAAGGACTTTTCCCTAATGCTACCCTTGCGCTCAGAAGCATGAACAATCCGAGCCATTAGTTACGTTTATGCGGGTCGGAAGATCAAAACGATAAACAACGCAGGCCTGCAGTAGCTAAAACAAAGGAGCGGAATGGAAAGCATTCAAGAACATCACTGAGAGTAGTAAAGAACCAGAGAGCATCCGCTCCGCGCTCATCTTCACATCTTTCCTGCTGAGGCCACCCGTCTCAGAAACATGAACTTGTCATCGTATGGTTTAGCATACATACAGTTAGTGCTATCGAGTGCGCTGGGAAAAAAGATGTCTGGCGATACAAGCAAGTGCAGATGGTATAGGAGTTCCGAGCCCCATCGACGGACAGAGATCAATGATGCTGTGGCGCAAGTCAAGGGTTATATGGTACGACCGCTCCGTCCAATATCTGATAATTGTTGGCGAGAGCAATCGCTGACTGGATTCTGAAGGTCTAAGCGCTGAAAGAATGATCTGTCCTTTGTCCCTTAAGTGAGGAAGGTCCATTGAAGTTGAACTACATTTCCTCGCAGCAGGGACGAATATTGAGGACTCGGAATTTGCAGCAATCAATGCTTCGCGGTGCTAGATGATATGTGGGTAGTAGGTTTGCTGAGTGGCCATGGCTCAGCCACATTCCAAAAAACTCCAGCTGCTAGCTTTGCCGTGGTGGAAAGCACTTCGCAAATTTCCAGAACTCCGGATGGCTGCCAATTCAGTCTTTTGTTATCGGTTCAAGGATTGTAGGCTGAAAAAAAAATTGTAGAATGACTAAAAATTCAGTCAGCATGAAGCACCACATGAATGTGGAGCAATGGAGATTATTAGTGAATTTGAGCCACAAACTAGAATTCTTTATATGGACACCGTCAAGCTTCAGCGTTAAGCCTTAGCTGCTCAGTGCGAGATGAGCGCCAGAAACCGAGCATTGTGGATAGAATTCTAGTCAAGTGTTCCCTAAACGCTAATTTTTGGCTTTCTGTATGTTCTATATGTCTTATATGGTTGGCCGCCTTGACTCATTTTTCGAACCATGTTTCAAAATACATTTGGTTGAATGGTGTAAAAATTTTTTTTGAGCAAACTTTCAACTGAAATTCATAAATCCCCTCATGTGATTTACACTCGGAAAAATTTTATTATCCCGGACATTGACCAAGGAAATATGCTGACAAGCCGCATTCCGCGCCCGGACGCTTACGGTAGAGAGCTTTCCCTAATTAAATATAGCATATAACGAAGTTCTACATGGGACTTATGCCCGCTGCGCTCTCCGCATTACTATTCATATATTCCCAGCTGATAATCGTAGCTAACAGAAAACACCTTGTCTTAGTTTTTATTTACCATGTGGGTCTGCTCAGCCGATGGTCCTTACTGTAGTGGCAAGTGCGTATATCATGCAGCTGTAAACAGACACTATCTCTCAACAATACCAGATGCATTTCAAAGGTGTTGAATGTGAGCATTTTGTAATGATTGTGTGCGAGAATTACATATTTTCATGAAGGTTACTGGAAAACTATTGGGTTGTTGGGAAAAGTTTCACTTATTTGCTTATGAGGCAAAATTTTTGAAAATTGTTTTGGGACTTTCCGTCTGAACCATATTTGGAGGAAGGGCAAGGCACGCCTTCAGAAAACCTTCCTGACTCTAAGCTGCCGAACGCAACGAATGTGGCATTCCAGTGTCAATTTCTGAGCTCCATACTTAGAAGAAAATTGTCAGTGTTTTAGGGAACTGCAAGAAATAATTCATTGGGGACCGCTAAAAACGCAATCTATTGTGACGGCCAGTGTCGTCTGCTTCCAGATGGAGTCCCTGTTTTTCTGCGAAGAAAACAAAATAAAATCTATTTTCATAATCGCAATCCTCGCGTACATACTGTCAAGAGGACCTGAGAACAAAATCTTCGGAGCTCAGGAAGGCATGGTCAACCCCATTAACAAATATATGTCAGACTTAGGGCCAACGGACCATTATCCATTTCTTTCGGTAACAGATCTTCTGGAAAATAAGAAGTCGACACAAGAGCTGAAAAGAGTCGAACATGGAAGTTGCCAAGCAAGTTTTTCATTGGGAATCCCTAGAACTTCCACAGAAGTTACAGATTCTGTTAAGAAAAGTGTTCTACATTTCCACTTTTTTCACGATGCAGTATGTATTGAAACTATCGTGTCAAAGCCTTTTGGCCACGACTCGGTTTATAAGCAGAAAATCGTAAATTAAACAAGGAAGCGAAGAAATTGTGGCACCTTAGTAGTCATTGAACAGTTGTTTTGGTTGCCAGTGGGTCCTTTTAGCAAAAGGGAAAGCTGTAATCATGACACTACTGCGAAACGCATTACCAAGAGTTGATAGTGCCACAACAGGATCTCTAACTACCTATCCTTTTTATCTGGTTCAGTAATAATGAAATTGGAGAGAAGCGAGCTTTACCCAGTCATTCAAGTTCCTATTATCTACTTACTCCCGGAAATTCTTCAAGGATCAAAAGTAAAAATGAGTTCGTCTTTAACCATTTCATTAGTCATAATATTATGCACTTTTCCACAATAACACAACTAATGCCAGCAAGACATCCACATTCAGAGCCTTACTCAGTATTAAAGACTCGGGTCAGTGCAACCCAGATTCTCTATTCCCGTTTTTCGAGATCTTCAAGCTGAACTGCTTTCACTCCCCCCCCCCCCCCCCCCCCCCCCCNTTCAGTACCTTAGCTACATCTCGGTTCATTGCTACTTATTCAGGTTTCAAAGTAGCTCATAATATCAATTTAACTACCTTAGAATTCTGATCAATCTCAATGCTAAGTAGGAGCTTTAAAGAACTCAAACATTTGAACGACTTCGTACCATTGCGTGCACCAACCTATGCCTAATAAGGTTTTTCAAGAGAAACATCGTGCTGCAGTCCAATGAATCAGCAACTTATAGACCTCATGTTTTAATATTCGAATCTATTTTACCATCTTTACAACACAGCTTTTAGATGTCATAAATAGAGAGCACAAATTTATAATGGTGATTCCAAAGGAGCAGTTCAAATCAAAATAACGTAAAGATTTGTGGTTGTATGATAAACTATATCGGGAAACAAGAAGAGATAGATATTTTGAATCTAAGAAAACAATGAGAAATGAGGTTGAAAATGGTGAACCAAAGATGATCTAAGGAACACACATTCTCTACAACTTGGTTGTTATTAATTAATTACAAAAACACGTCGTGCCTTCGTGCCAGTAACAAAACACCTCTAGGAACAAGAAATAGAGAGTCATCCGCTTGCTGGGACGAACTAGCGGTGAAGATCAACTAGAATTACACCACGTGAACAACATGGTTGCCTTTCAACGGTCCAGAATGCTAGGGTTAGTATAAATGATGGTCTCGACACCACTTTGAAAACCACTTCCTCTAACAGGATAACTCCGAGTCAATAGGAAGCTATTAAACCTAACTGCTACTTAATCTTTTACAATCATAACTTGCCCCTCTATGAGTTCAATGTAAAACGTAAAGAAATGAGAAAACGCGAATGAAAAGCAGATCATGTACAAAAAAGCAAGAGATAAATACAAATGTAGAGAAGTAGTACGCTACCTTTTGCTAAGCTGATAGATCATCTGAGGCGTGCGCAACGGTCGAGCAGCTGGTGGTCTGACCTATAGGGATACTCAAAATCCTTCCTGGTATCACAGATATAATAATAGGATGGGGCGCTCGTTTCCTCGCCCTCTTCTCCAAACTAAGCGCGATTTCGAGCAAAAACTCCTCAGTCAATGGTAAGAAGTGGGAAATGACAATCAGCGCGCCGCTTTGACATTACATGATGCGAAAGACTCAGCCAGACCTCATTTCTCTTTCGCTTTACTTAAGTCTAGTCAATTTACACAGATACATAGGACCGAAATTGGATGGCAAGAACGGCAGTATCAAAGCACCCATTCGGCATTGATCAGAAAATCGGTACAGGCCAGATGAAGTGAGATGATTGACCAACTGCCCGAGCGACTCCTCCACAACCTGCCAAGGAAAAAAATGCAGTGGATTTGAATTGTAATGCATGCTAGAACCTTAATATATTACCCGCACTCCGAATTCTTGTTCAGCTATGGCGACAGCGTTCCCAACCACACCTTCGTTTTGAATAGAAGACAACGTGCACGTCGAGTACACCACGGATCCTCCCACCTTCACCGCTCTCAGCGAATTTCTGAACATTGCTTGAAATCGTTCGTTTTGATCATTTTGATAGGAAAATGTAACATTAGACATATGAAATATTAAAGTCTGGCTTCCTGTGAAGCGTGCTATTTCTGGCGGTCACAAAGGAATTTCTCTGATGTAAAATAGGAGAAGATGTAGGAGAAGAGAATGTAAAGTAGGAGAACCCTAGTTAAAAGTAAAGGTATACCGAAGCTCTGAACTACTACATGTATGTTTCAGGCGTATTCAGTGCTTTTCTGGCTAAAGAGGTTCTTACATGGTGGAACATTTACTTCGACAGATGTTGCGACAAATTCGACGTTTTTGAAGGCCCCAAAAGGGTTTCGAGATTATGATGTTTTATTAAAATTACATGTCATTATATTAGGTTGGAAGGAAAGTCCAGCAACAAAATGAAGGTCTTTTTCAAATCGTTTCTGAAATTTTCCAGGCCAATCAATCTTCGGGAATATATTTACCAAAGAGGTCAACAACCTTCTATTATCCTTTGAGTAAATCGCTGATGCCTTTTTTCCAGAAGTNNNACCTGATTTACGGTTTTGATCGTCCTTCTCTAACCCTGTTGGCCAAATGTCGGAGTTCAAATGGGTAACCAATAGCTGCGTCCATCTAGTCTGCGTTAAGCAACTCATAGTGGATGGATCTCTTCAACCTCCATTAAATTAAGGGACGATGCTTACGTTACTTCGAAGGCTAGTATTTCCTCCAGTGAAGCGATCCAGCCGATTGTTGACTGTGATCGGTGAGCAGTGCCAGCATTGAATAGGTATTTGAGCCGCTACACCCGTGTTTTTCCCTTGGCATGCTTAGTAGAAGGTGATGGTACGAATCGGGTGTTGTCCATTTATTGATCGTAATGCTGCCAAAGCTCACACGCGTGCCCTTATTTACTCATGTATTGATGACCTGAGGAATGTCTTAAAAGTTTATCATCTTGCTACCGTGTTCATACTCTTGACACAAATTGCTGACGCTCAAATTTTTTGTTGCAGGACTTTCCTTCCAACCTAACAGATGCTTCCTACCAAGCTCAACGTCTCATAAAATGAGCATTGCGAACCGCAGCGAAAATCATCATTTCACCTGACAAAACTAAACAAAAGATTTAAAATCAGAAAGATGCAGCCTTTGAGCTGAAGTCGACTGTGATGTATCTACAGGGTGACCCACATGAAGTGTGACACAGTAAACTAACTATAAAATTGTATAGATCAAACCAAAGAGGGAACATTTACTCCCATACACTCATCACTTAAATTGCAAACATCATATCACATCTCGCATTCAGAATGACCACCTTTCGCCTCAATGCAAGCATCAAACCTCTTTCGGAAGTTTTCAAGAATGCGCGCAATCACTTCCGGCGAACTTTTCATCACCGCTTTCACAAGAAATTTTTTTCAAATAGTCTAAAGACTTGTGTTTGAAAGCACAGACTTTTTGCTCCAGAATCGATCATACAACAAAATCCAGAAGATTGAGATTGGGGTGTCTGAATGCCAAACCTACTTTGTCCAAAAACCCGAGAGCGTGACATCATTACATTGTCTTCCTTCCACTGTGACCTGGTGTCCAGTCCTGCTTAAAGTATCAGCTGATGTTTTTCGGGTTCAACTCGGCTCAAGGGATCACCGCATCCTTCAGCTCAGAACTCCATAAGTAGATTTTTTATTTCCCGTCACATTTCATGTGGGTCACCCTATATATTTTTCACATCAGGGCCGTAAGCACAACTACTCAAAGGCACAGTTTACGAGGGTTTTGTGATACCCGTTTTTATTCGAACAGCGGAAGAATAGGTTGGAAATAGTTCATCGGTAGTGAAGAAGGCAAGGGAATTCACCGATTTCGAGAAGAACACGGTTCCTTGAAAGTAGAGAAAATAGGGGTTTTTACGAGATAACCGTTATTGAAATAACATGGAAGGGGTATGCGGACGAAATTTCAGCCGTCGCAGTTGCGCAAACGTCAAGTTAGAACTGTGCAGACTGCCTTTCGTTGTCGCTATTGGTCATGACAAGTTGATTGAACTTCCTACATGGGTTACCTTGTGATCGGCGAGGCCTATACAATGCCGGTGAAACTTGTCCGAGGATACACACGGTGCAATCGTTGCGCTTTGATAGGCCGTTTTCCGCTAGTGCCAGATATGGTATACGAGGGCTCCTCAAATTCATCCTAAGGGGAAATCTCAGAAATCATTTTTATCTTGAATTGCGCCTTTAATCACACGCACAACTGTGATAAGTAACTGTGATGTGATAGAGTAGGACGTCAGCATCCCACCCATCCCAGTGCTTTTCACTCCCCTTCCCCATTGGACCTAGGCAAAACTACTTTTTCCTGGTGAAGAATAGATTTTAGGCACCACTAGGGGTACGCAGAGCCGCGCTCGTAGCTTCCCGTCACCGCGTTGTCTAAAGGCCAGGGTTCATTCGGGATAAGCGACAACTGTGACTCTCTAGTCTGCGTTATGCAACTCATAGCGGATGGATTCCTTCACGTCCCACAGAACTACTGATGCTTGCGTTACTTCGAAGGCTAGTATTTCCAGCAGTGAGGTAGTGTAACCAATTGTTGACCGTTGGTCCGTGATCAATGCTTCCAACAACAAGGTTACTGATAATTTGAGCGGCTACACTCGCGTATCTCCCTTGGCGTGCCTAGCAGACGATAGTGTGAATCTGGTGTTATTCATCTACCGATGCATTGCTGGGAAAGCCAAAGAGTGGGCCTTGTTTCCTCACGTGTTGGTTGTCCAGGGAATATTCCTTGCTAGTGGTTCACATTCTTTATGAAAATTATGAATGCTTCGAATTTTTTGACGCAGAATTCTCTCACTACCCTAACACGTATAAGTGAAACCTGAATCGTACATCAATATCTTCGTTTGCAGTTGCGGTAAGTTCAAACGCTCGTTGGTCATCCGAGGAGAGTACATATTCCCATCATCCTGATTCACAGCCAGTCGATCTGTCGAGCATGGGACGTCGGCCAATACCTGAGAACTTCTTCGATCTTCGCTGTTAATGGAAAACGACATATAGTTCTGCTTCCACACAATTTTTCGATTACAAACCTTATCATAGACATCAATTTCATCCCAAGTTGCCAGATTGCTAGCGTCTTGTCTCTTTAAAATAACGATATCCGCGGCAGGATCACCCACGGGGACATACGTTGACAAAGCCCGTTTCAGCTGGCCTAGCCTGGCAAGTTTGAAGTCGTTACATACCACTTTGCCTGCAATCGGAGACGAATTCATTACAAATCAAACCCGATTTTCATGAGAATAAGCTTCTCCTAAGCCCTCTACACCATAGGAATCTCATTTGAGGCACTTTCCAAGTCGCCTGAGGGGACTGATAGCAGATGTAGTTTTGTGGAAGTTATAAAAAGCAACTTGTGAAGTGAATTTTGTGTAAAAAACATATTTGGACATCAGAGAGAAAGAAGAACCTGCTCATTCGAACAGTTCGTCCAGCAAACCTTCCACACAAAATTTAAAAACACTCAAAACTCAAACTGGACAAACTATTCGAATGAGCAGGTTCTGCGAATTCTGTGATGTCCAAACATGTTTTTACACAAAACTCACTGAGAATGAATCATATGAGTGATCCTTCTCGGACAAGGAATGAACATCAGGTCATAGTTCGAAACTAAAAAAAGATTGCTACCAACCGAACCTTTTTAGGATTTTCAGAACAATGGTGGCTTAAGACAACACTGCATATGGGACGGATGTGGCAATACACGCTCTTCTGTGTACTTCTAACAAAGCGGAGGGAGCCGGGCCGAAATAGTGCTGCAAGCACTGATACATACTCATCAATGAGAAGAAACTGCAGTAATCTCCTGAGATTCCCTTTTATTTTTTCACAAGTTTTTTTGAACAGGAGACATGGTGAACAAAACCGGAAATTGATTTGCCGGTATCCTCTTTGATCCACGGAATTGTATGTTTGTACGTATGTCTGCCCGCCGCAGGACTTCTTTGGCTGCTTTCACAGTCCGCCGGCCGGACGGCCGGCGCGCTGGCGTACTGTCGCAAAACGAATTAGTTCGTATATAAAGATCAACGTCTGATGCATTTTTTTCACGGTCAGATCAGGTCCGAACCGTGAAATAGAATGCAACAAACGTCGATTTCTTACATAAGAACTAATTTGTTTCACGTTAGTGCGCCGGCGGACTATGAAAGCAGCTTTCATAGTCAATGGAAGAGGAAAAATACTAAAAGTGGTGTGGACCTATATCTCTGAGTCAACACATATAAACCGATAGATCAGAAACAACCGCCCCTGTTTTTATTGCATAAGTCAGAGAGTTTCTAAAAACTCTATGGTTTAGACAAGTATGTGATGCATCTTAAAAACAGCGGTTATCAAAGCTCAGCGCCTCGCCTGCTTTAAATTGAAGGCAGCGTCAAATGTTTCTGAGACACGATGGAACTATCAAAATGCGTGGTACTAGATGGTGAAGAAACGAACATTTGAACAAGCATATTTTTCCTTCTTGCTAGTGGATATCTCTGCAGCTCATACGGGAAAGCAAAGTCTAAAACATTACAAACTCGTTAAGTCATACGCAGGGGTACTCATGACTGAAAGCAATGATTCTCGAGAGGGGAAACCTCAGATCTGAAAGTTGCTTTCTCAATGTATCTTGAAAGGCACAGTTCACAATGAGTTTTTTGAAATTTCGCGCTAGAATGAACCTTTCTGTACCAGAATTATGTTTTTGGCTTTCTAGCTAATTTCGCCATGATTCACTCGAACGAAAGGATTATTCACCCACCAAAACATACTTCATATTCTCTCGTTTTCTAAGAAATATTACTTAAATAGAAGAGAGCCTGAATTCCTTTATGGAGTATATAAGCCTTCCTGTTTGATGTAATATTATTGCCTTTGCATGCCTCAATAAAGGCTTCATCATATCAATCTGCGTCCATCGACAGTACAGAAAGTGGCGACCACGGACAGAAGGCCAAGGACCGACACGTCTCATTCAACGCGCAGCTCTTCTTCGTCAAAAGAAGACGAATCTTCTTTGCGGCTTCTGCCCAACAACCCGACACGCTCGTCAACCCTTCTCCTTCGCGGCTACTGCCCAACCACCCGACACGATCATCAACCCTCTCCTCAGCGGCTTCTGCCCATCCACTCTACTCCTGTCTCACTCACGTCGACAACGGCTCAACATCTTCACATCGTCACCGACCACTCATCTCATCACAGCGACGACCACTCGACAAAGCCAACGACTCCGTACCCGTACCACAAACAACTGCTCATCAACGCCTGCAACTCTTTGCCAGCGACGATCGCTCATCGCCAAGTCCCCACACGTAATTGCCTACCGAATCAAGGAAACCAAGCAGTGTACGATCAACGATCCACTCTACATCAACACCGACGACGATGTCATCCAACGACAGCTCGCAAATACGTCGCCAAATTGGATTCTTCCAGAAGCAGTTAAAAAATACGAATCATCAATCACAGCTACATTTAAGGAGTACCGAATAAAAATCGAACAACACGACTTCCGCCATCTGGACAACGATGAACTCGAGTCGTTTCGCAATGAGATCGTCCCGTTAAGAAGAAGCTTTCTGAAAGCTTATCAGAAAATAACGAAACTACATGATGAATGGGTCACGCTCCAAGATTCCAAAGAAGGTGAACAAGCAATTTTCGATGACTATATATCCAAATATGGTGACTATCGTGAATCAATTACTACTTCGGTGAATCGCCTGGAAAGCCTCGACAGGTTGCTGAATGCAATCGATCAAGAATACTTTAAACGGAACTTGAATGTTCCTTCCGATATCTCTAAGGCTACCTCACTGGATGAATATGGTAACGAACCAGCATCAACAAAAGGACCCACCCTGCATCGTGGTAGTCAACCGCCGCCGTCACGTCATCCCCCAGCTCCACAATTTTCGACAGACTCTTCCTTGCTCAACTTCGTCGACGCCTCCATAATAACCAAAATGGAACTCCCTACATTCGATGGCAACCTCCTCGACTACCCTGAGTTTGCATCACGGTTCGCCACACTGGTCGGCAACAAAACTCAGTTGGACAACACAACTAAACTCTCTCTGCTCAAGTCATGCTTACGAGGCCGTGCACTGCAATCAATTCAAGGACTGTCGATGATGCCAGAAAACTACGCAATCGCCATGGATATACTACGAACGCACTACGACGACAAAGTTACGATGAAGCACATCCTCTACACCAAACTGGCACAGCTCCCCGACTGCGATCCTAAAGGACGTCAACTTCAAACACTGTACAATCGCATGTTTGCTCTCATTCGACAATTTTCTGACAACAAGGATGACTCCAACAAGACGGCTTTAGGAGCAATCTTACTCAACAAACTACCTGCAAGAGTGAAGAGCAGAATATATGATATGACATCAAATTCTCACAACCTCTCGCCGAGTGAACTGTTGCGCCTGCTCACTGAAATTGTACGCAAGGATGCAATTCTATCCGAAATGAACTATCATTCCAGGCCACAACAACCGCAACAGGACCAGTATGGAAGTTTTCATATTACTATGAAGCCGAAAAGTCAACGCCAACTCACGTCACCACGTTCCAGGCCAAGAATTAAGCCGTGCCCGTACTGCAATAATAGCTACCATTCACCTATTTCTTGTGATTTATATTCAACTCCTCATCAAAGAAGCCTACGAGTGAAAGAACTACGCCACTGCTTCAATTGCTTATCCAATCAACATCCTACGAGGGACTGCCGATCCAGTAGCAAGCGTCATCGTTCGTCATTGTGCTTCTCTCGAGGACAACCTTCACGTCAAAATATAATTTCTACACGCGGAACAACTCATAACTCCTACTCAAAACGTAGCCAACCTCATCAACAAAGTGTACACGTTGTCGAGACAACTCAAAATGGAACAAGGGATCTCAATCACAAAAGTCCTGAGACTGCTACTGCCGCGTGCTCATTTGCCGTTCCACCGAAATCAAAACATGAACGTTCCCCACAGACCACACTCCGGTGCACTCCGGTACTCCTTTTTAATCCTTCTCGTCCTTCTCTAGAAACTACAATGACAGTACTGACTCCGGTTCCAGCCAATCATATATTACAAAAGATTTGGCCGAATTTCTCCTGCTTTCTATCTTATCAACTCAAGACATATCCATGTCAACCCTTGGGACCACCACTCCTCTTCAACTTACCTCAGGTGACAATGTTATTGGCATCCTTGTGGAAAACGGAGAAAAGTATAATATTCTGAGGTGAAGTCGGTACCAATCCTCACAGGTCGTTTGAAGCACATTCGCTACGACGAACATCCAGAAATCCGGGACGTAACTGTATCTCTATGTAGACCATCGATTCTCACAGGAAACGATTACTTCTGGGGCATGGTGCTGTCAGAGAAGTTTTGCTACAAAGTGCTTCCAAATGAATGTCGTCTCCTTCATACCAACCTTGGTGACATATTTGTCTGTAAAGGCCTCCACTTAAAACATTCCGTATCATATCCTTCCCTACTTACAAGTGACGACATTACCAACCCTGTCCATCACGACGAATTATATCAACTTGTAAGCAGGTTTTGGGAAATGGAAGCTATAGGCATAATGGACGATCCCGCTCAACAAGATGACGATGTTTGTCTTCAATTTTTCAACAACACCATTACTTACAACGAGAAGGATAAGCGTTACGTCGTCAAGTTGCCCTTCAAATCTGACCCAAGACAACTCCCCGACAACTTCGCCTTAGCATTTTCACGCCTCTCCAGCCTTTTCAGATCACTACAGAATAAGCCGTCTTATATGCAAAAGTATGACGGCATAATCAAAGATCAACTGCAGAGGAAAATTATTGGAGAAGTACCACCTACGGGAAAAGCGAAACTTTCGCATTATCTTTCCCATCATGGAGCGATAACTAACGAAAACGACAATATCAAGGTGAGATGTGTATTTGACGGTTCTGCTAAAACGAAAGGGAATCAGAGTATCAGTGAAATACTCCATCGAGGACCTGTACTATTACCGGACATGACTGGTATCCTTCTCCGTTGCAGACTCTGGCGCACCTTAATAATTAGCGATATCGAAAAAGCATTTTTGATGGTGGCACTTCACTCGGATTGCAGAGACTACACTCGCTTCTTGTGGCTTAAGGACGTTTCAAAACCGATAAGTTCCAGTAATTTGATCATTTATAGATTCACCCGCGTGCCGTTTGGTCTTATTTGCTCGCCATTCCTCTTGTCAGGTACCATTCATCACCATATGACAACAACTGACATCGCTCTCTCAAAACCTTTTGCGCAGCACCTACGTCGATGTTTTTCATGGAGTCCAAGAACCACATGAAGGAAAGGA